CATTCTTTCCTTTACACGGATCAGTCGTCCTGGTCCCTTTGCAGAAAAAACAGCCCCAAAGCATGATGTTTCCACCCCCATGCTTCACAGTAGGTATGGTGTTCTTTGGATGCAACTCAGCATTCTTTGTCCTCCAAACACGACGAGTTGAGTTTTTACCAAAAAGTTCTATTTTGGTTTCATCTGACCATATGACATTCTCCCAATCCTCTTCTGGATCATCCAAATGCACTCTAGCAAACTTCAGACGGGCCTGGACATGTACTGGCTTAAGCAGGGGGACACGTCTGGCACTGCAGGATTTGAGTCCCTGGTGGCGTAGTGTGTTACTGATGGTAGGCTTTGTTACTTTGGTCCCAGCTCTCTGCAGGTCATTCACTAGGTCCCCCCGTGTGGTTCTGGGATTTTTGCTCACCATTCTTGTGATCATTTTGACCCCACGGGGTGAGATCTTGCGTGGAGCCCCAGATCGAGGGAGATTATCAGTGGTCTTGTATGTCTTCCATTTCCTAATAATTGCTCCCACAGTTGATTTATTCAAACCAAGCTGCTTACCTATTGCTGATTCAGTCTTCCCAGCCTGGTGCAGGTCTACAATTTTGTTTCTGGTGTCCTTTGACAACTCTTTGGTCTTGGCCATAGTGGAGTTTGGAGTGTGACTGTTTGAGGTTGTGGACAGGTGTCTTTTATACTGATAACAAGTTAAAACAGGTGCCATTAATACAGGTAACGAGTGGAGGACAGAGGAGCCTCTTAAAGAAGAAGTTACAGGTCTGTGAGAGCCAGAAATCGTGCTTGTTTGTAGGTGACCAAATACTTATTTTCCACCATAATTTGCAAATAAATTCATTAAAAATCCTACAATGTGATTTTCTGGATTTTTTTTCCTCAATTTGTCTGTCATAGTTGACGTGTACCTATGATGAAAATTACAGGCCTCTCATCTTTTTAAGTGGGAGAACTTGCACAATTGGTGGCTGACTAAATACTTTTTTTCCCCACTGTATATGTTATATATCGATAACAGTCACTTATTAAATAATTACCTCATCAGTCTCATTCTGAACGTCACATAAGCCTTGAACCTGCAAGAACCCTTACCTTAGTCAATAAATAATTAAGCCAATTTGTGTATTGCTAACTAACTAAATAATAACACAGAATACATAAACACACACACACACACACACACGGAATACAGTGCCTTGCAAAAGTATTCATCCCCCTTGGCGTTTTTCCTATTTTGTTGCATTTCAACCTGTAATTTAAATGGATTTTTATTTGGATTTCATGTAATGGACATACACAAACTAGTCCAATTTGGTGAAGTGAAATGAAAAAAATTCAACAAAATAGATAACAGAAAAGTGGTGCGTGCATATGTATTCACACCCTTTTCTATGAAATCCTAAATAAGATCTGGTGCAACCAATTACCTTCAGAAGTCACATAAAAATAAAACAACTAATTGTCATTTAGCAGACGCTCTTATCCAGAGCGACTTACAGTTAGTGAGTGCATACATTTTCATACATATAGTTAAATAAAGTCCACCTGTGTGCAATCTAAGTGTCACATGATCTGTCACATGATCTCAGTATATATATATACGCCTGTTCTGAAAGGTCTGCAACACCACTAAGCAAGGGGCACCACCAAGCAAGCGGCACCATGAAGACCAAGGAGCTCTCCAAATAGGTCAGGGACAAAGTTGTGGAGAAGTACAGATCAGGGTTGGGTTGTAAAAAAATATCAGAAACTTTGAACATCCCACGGAGCACCATTAAATCCATTATTAAAAAATTGAAAGAATATGGCACCACAACAAACCTGCCAAGAGAGGGCCGCCCACTACAACTCACGGACCAGGCAAGGAGGGCATCAATCAGAGAGGCAACAAAGAGACCAAAGATAACCCTGAAGGAGCTGCAAAGCTCCACAGCGGAGATTGGAGTATCTGTCCATAGGACCACTTTAAGCCGTACACTCCACAGAGCTGGGCTTTACGGAAGAGTGGCCAGAAAAAAAAACATTGCTTAAAGAAAAAAATAAGCAAACACGTTTGGTGTTCGACAAAAGGCATGTGGGAGACTCCCCAAACATATGGAAGAAGGTACTCTGGTCAGATGAGACTAAAATTGAGCTTTTTGGCCATCAAGGAAAACGCTATGTCTGGCGCAAACCCAACACCTCTCATCACCCCGAGAACACCATCCCCACAGTGAAGCATGGTGGTGGCAGCATCATGCTGTGGGGATGTTTTTCATCGGCAGGGAAACATTTAAATGTCTTGGAATGGCCTAGTCAAAGCCCAGATCTCAATCCAATTGAGAATCTGTTGTATGACTTAAAGATTGCTGTACATCAGCGGAACCCATCCAACTTCCAGGAGCTGGAGCAGTTTTGCCTTGAAGAATGGGCAAAAATCCCAGTGGCTAGATGTGCCAAGTTTAGAGAGACATACCCCAAGAGACTTGCAGCTGTAATTGCTGCAAAAAGTGGCTCTACAAAGTATTGACTTTGGGGGGTGAATAGCTATGCATGAATAGTTATTTCTTGTTTGTTTCACAATAAAAATATTTTGCATCTTCAAAGTGGTAGGCATGTTATGTAAATCAAATGATACAAACCCAAAAAAAATCTATTTTAATTCCAGGTTGTAAGGCAACAAAATAGGAAACATGCCAAGGGGAGTGAATACTTTCGCAAGCCACTGTAGGTTATTGATTACTAACTTAATACAATGAAAGCAGGTCCCTAGTGGACTGGATTAACAATAGTATGACTGCTTGGTTAGGGGAAGGAGGGATCAATAGAAAGAGAGTGAAAGGGAGAGACAGAGATTCAACTTATAGTTGTTACATTTGGATAAGTAATGCAATGCATATTTACGCGTAGCTGTCCTTGATTGTCATCTCTCTGTTGAACCACTTTCTCAAAAAGTGGTTTGAGTGTCCTATCCCACTTCGTTGAGACTCGGCTTGTCTTCGAGTGGAGTGTTCGTTAGAATAGATACTTCAGATGTACCAACGGTTGCCGGAGAGGGATTGTCCTTCCCAACTCGTGTCTTTAGTGAAAGTTCTAGATACTTGTACAGCTGCAGACTGATATGATAAGGTCTATTGCGTGGTCTTCTTCTCGTGTAGAGATTGAGAGTTTCAGAGTTTCTCCATTTCAAACGTATGGACTACCATCTCACGTTTTCTTGTCTGTAGAGTGTCAACCATTTTAAGCCATGTAGCCATAGCTCCACGCTTCCTGGTCTAAAGGTTGATTTGTTTTTCAAGGCTTTTTATGGCCTCTGGGTAAAAGGGGCGTTCCTACTTGCTGACACGATCTCTGATGGCACTTGGGGCGTGGCTAATTACTGTGCAAAGGATATGTGAAAAACTATTATCTCATTAGAAGACTAAAATCACATTCCTATCTTCACCAAAATACTCTCATACTTAATCATATATTTTATACAACATTTAGATGTAAACTTGATAGATAGAATATATACACTTTCCGAGTTACAGTTATTTATTGACACCATCCTTAAATGACATCACAAAATAATAAACAATAGATCCCCACCAACCATGCCAAACATTTGGAGGTCAGGAATAATGTTCCAATGTCCAATCTTTTGACGTTAGAGATTTTAGGCGGCAAGAGTCTCTCTGTAACAAAGATATTTATTTCTTCCCATACTAGAGACCAAAAGGAGTCCTTTTCTGCAAACTATTTATGACCAGCTGTTAAGTCATAAAACCGGCCCAACTCCCTCTTCTCCTCTCCTGTGGGAGAGAGGGGGGGTCTGGCTATCTGTCAGCCATTTGCCAAGCTGATCTGGCACCTTTGATCCTCATCAAGGAGAGAGTCATGACACAAGGTAGGGGTGGTATACAGAAGATAGCCCTATTTGGTAAAAGACCAAGTCCATATTATGGCAAGAACAGCTCAGATAAGCAAAGAGAAACCACAGTCCATTACTAAGACATGAAGGTCAGTCAATTCGGAAAATGTCAAGAACTTTGAAAGTTTCTTCAAGTGCAGTCGCAAAAACCATCAAGCGCTATGATAAAACTGGCTCTCATGAGGACCGTCACAGGAAAGGAAGTCCCAGAGTTACCTCTGCTGCAGAGGATAAGTTCATTAGTTAACGGCACCTTATATTGCAGCCCAAATAAATTATTCACAGAGTTCAAATAACAGACATTTTCAGAGGAGACTGCATGAATCAGGCCTTCATGGTCCAATTGCTGCAAAGAAACCACTAATAAAGGACACCAGTAAGAAGAAGAGACTTGCTTGGGCCAAGAAACACGAGCAATGGACATTAGACTGGTAGAAATCTGTCCTTTGGTCTGATGAGTCCAAATTTGAGATTTTTGGTTCCAAACGCCGTGTCTTTGTGAGACGCAGAGTAGGGGAACGGATGATCTCCGCATGTGTGGTTCCCACCGTGGAGCATGGAGGAGGAGGTGTGATGGTGCTTTACTGGTGACACTGTCTGTGATTTATTTAGAATTCAAGGCACACTTAAACAGCATGACTACCACAGCATTCTGCAGCGATACACCATCTCATCTGGTTTGCTCTTAGTGGGACTATCATTTGTTTTTCAACAGGACAACGACCCAAAACACACCTCCAGGCTGTGTAAAGGCTATTTGACCAAGAAGGAGAGTGATGGTGCTGCATCAGATGACCTGACCTCCACAATCACCAGACCTCAACCCAATTGAGATTGTTTGGGATGAGTTAGACCGCAGAGTGAAGGAAAAGCAGCCAACAAGTGCTCAGCATATGTGGGAACTCCTTCAAGACCGGTGGAAAAGCATTTCTCATGAAGCTGGTTCAGAGAATGCCAAGATTATTCTACAATGTAGAAAATAGCACAAATAAAGAAAAACCTTTGAATGAGTAGGTGTGTCCAAACTTTTGACTGGTACTGTATACATATATATAGTCAAACTTCACATAGAAGTGGTGAAGGCGGAGCTGCTTACCATAAGCCAGATGGGGTAAGGCACCTTGCGGAGGACCTGAGCGGTGTCAGATGAGACAGCAGACACCCCGCTGCACCACAGCACTGAGTAGAGCCATGGCTCATTCACCGGGTACACCGTCACACTCATGTTGTTCGCCAAGAATTCCCTACAAAGACAAATAGTTATAGGACATGCTGTTCTGTGAGTAATGCAGGGTGAGGTTAGAGATTTAGATAACATTTGTGGACCTCCCAGATAAGATTATTGGGGCATGTCCAGTTAAGATTGTGGATGTTTGAGAGTAAGAGTAGGTATGTCTTACTGAATGTCCTTGTTGCTGGCCTGTGAGTAGCGCAGGGTGAGGCTGCTGATGCCTCTGTGTCTGAGCTCCTCCACTGACAGCTTCTCCAAGGAGGTCTGCTGCAGCCCCCTGACACGGCCCCTGTCTGTGTCCGGGGTCCACGTCACCTAAAGAACCATAGGGCACAAGACACAGGGTTAGAGACTGGACCTACTTTTTGATTCACACTTATCTACCAATGTTACTAATAAGGATTCAGTGAGATACATAAACAGAGTCCTCCTCACTCTCTTCTGTGATATCCCAGACCTCTGGACGGCCCACAGGGTGTCCATGATCCAGGTTTTGTAGTGTGGGTGTTCTGGGGGAGGTCTGCGGAGGTACAACAGGGCTGAGCGGTTGGCCCTGGCGGCCAGACGCAACATCTCTACCAGGCTACACACTGTCAGGTTCCCTATCCGGTTCCGGTCCCTCCCTGTCAGAGACCCAACAGTCCAGTAGGGGTCGCTCTGGAGAGACAGAGAGGGGATAGAGGTATTTTATTTGATGAGGTGATGCAAAAAAAGATCCATTCTAAAATCGTCTCGGTGTGGGGAGAGGGAGGGGTAGACTAGAGAAGGGGAGCGACAAAGAGAAAGAGCAATACAAGGAGAAAGAGATAGTCATAGATACTGAGCGAGAGAGAAAGAGAGAGAGAGAAAAAGAGAGAAAGGTACCTCCAAAAACCACTGCCCCGCATTTAGAGAGCGAATCTCTGTCCAGTTGAAGAGAGACGCGTCCTCGTGCTGCTTGTCTGGAAAGACCTTGGCAATGTCAGTGGTCCTTTTCAAGGTGCGGTCTCGCATCAGGAAGGGCACCCCGTCCAGACTGGAGGGGAGAGGTGGGACCAAAGACTTACATCACTGAACCAGCAACACTTATGTCATTCACACTTATGTCACTGCTTTCATAAATAAAGAATATGTTTCTATGGCAATTGAAGTAAAAACAAAGGGCCTGTAATAAATGGCCTATTAATGCATTGAAAAGGAATGGATGTGAGATTAAAATGGTCTTAAAACATGTTGACTATGTCAAAGGCAGGGACAGAATGGGGCTCTTTAGATTTGCTCCCTAACCTTTAAAACCCTGAGAGTGTTGCTATAGATTCAGTACAGAAAGGCCCACCTGTCGTTACCAGTCTACTGTAGAGAACTCATTGCTCCTAACATTGAGGTGGTAGGGTGGGGTGGGGTTAGGTTATTGGCTGGTAGAGCATGGTTGGTTACCTGACGGTGACGTCGGCCTCCAGGGAGCTGACCCCCTGCTGCAGGGCCTTGTTGAAGGACATCAGGGTGTTCTCTGGAGCCAGCTACAGCACAGGACACACAAACAGAGGGACAGACAGAGAGAGGTATAATGGGTTATTATGGGTTGTTAGAATCTGACAGTGGTCATTTGATCTAGTGGTGGGATGGCATTATTATTTCAGTCTTTTAATAAATAGGTAAAAGGTCAGCAAAAGAGGCAATTGTATGTGCGGGAGTTATCTTTTATTATGAGCTTTTTAAACATTGTACAAATGGTGAGGTTGGTGAGACCTCTAAAAAAGCCATTGATCTTTCTAGCAAGTGGATGTCAGAGAGGCACGTTTACTTAAACAGAGAGGAGTTTACAGCAGTACACCTCTGACATCATCGTTTCAATGAAACTGAACCTCGCTCTCTGTGACAAAGATAGGTATCTACACCACAACTCAAACCTACTATAGCCTTACAATGTTAGACAAACTAATCCACTTCTGAATATATTGATCCTTTGATTTCTCCTGAGGGAAGAGGTCCTTGTCTGAGTTTGTAGAATAAAGCTCATAGAAAGATAGAATCATGGATCTGTCTTGTCCTTTGGGAAGCAGCTTTCAGGCACTGGTCTCCTGTCTCCTTCCACAGACAGCTACCATATCACCCACAGCAGGAGTCAATAGAGGCAAGCCCTGACAGGCTGTAAAAGGCTAGGTGAAGTGTGTGTTTGTGATTTGAAGGCAGGCAGACAGGCAGGCAGGCAGAGTGTGTGTCTGGGCTACAGTGTGAGTGTGTATTTGTTTAAAGCAAGTCATCTGGAACAATATTTACTTACCCAACTGCACCAGGACAGGACAATTTATTGTGTTCCCTACCAACAGTACGGCGCTTGTAACGCCAAGGTAGTGGGTTCGATCCCCGGGACCACCCATACACAAAAAAATGTATGCACACATGACTGTAAGTCGCTTTGGATAAAAGCGTCTGCTAAATGGCATATTATTATAATTATTATAAACCATCTACAATCCTAGGGGGGGGGGACGAAATATGGAATTGTTTTAAGAAGGTCATACCATGGATCATTTAAATATTTGATCTACAATTTTAGGACCCCTTTAGGTATAAAAAAATATATATACACATTTTTTATAAAACATTGAATTTGGCCTTTAATACAATACTATAAGCCCATAGAAACAAATTGAATAACACATTCATAAATGGCAAAAAAGACAGTCAAAAAATTAATCACAAGGATTAAGGTTTTGAAGTGTCTGTCCTATATCTATATCTCAGGAAATATTTTTGTATTTTTTTTACACATATTTTGCCCCTTATTTTTGTTGGCACAAAACTACCTCCATTCATTTGTATGGGTTACCTTTAGACGAGTCCCGTGACACTTGTGGGGGTCAAAACTGAGAAAACCATTGTGTTCGAAAGAGTCTCCCCTTTCTATAGAGTGGTTTTCGTGAGAAGACCAATTTTCGGGATGGCTCCTTGTCTGACAAACAGCGTTGTAGCTCTGCCACTTTCCACCACAGATGCGAAAGGGTGACATAGGTGGATGCGGTCGATTGAGACCCAGCCCATGCAAAAATATATATTTAGCTTAAACTGACGGATTTTGATGGGGATTATTTATTTGTATGCGTCAATAGACTAGGTTATACACTGACTGGACCAATGCTGTTTGTCTGGCCCTACATAGCCTGTACTCATTACCAGGTCAGGGCATTACAGTCAGTGCATGTCACAAAGCAGACCTGTTTTAACCTGAGTGTGAACGCTACCTATCCAATTAACTGTTTCATTGTCCAACAAGTAAATCGTGTTCGCTAATGTGGCTCTTTATTGGGTCTCCAAGACATTCAGTACATTCAATACCCTGAAGCAGAACAGCTCTCAAATTGAATGTGATTATGAACTCCAGCCACCATTATCACTTATACCTATTTAATTATTTATGATCTACATGATGTGGCTAGAGGGTAGAGCCACAGGGATGTTTCTGTAGGGGGCTATTGACTTACCATTGGCGCTCCCCGTCGTCCAATGACGTGAGGTCGAGATTTGAGGCTGTTCTTGTCCATGATGCAGGGTGAGGAGATGGCGAGGGGAGCCATGTAGAGGGCCAGCAGGACACTCAGGTAAACCAGCAGCACTATCATATGGAACTCTGGGAAGGATGAAGACCACAGAGTGAGGACATTAGGTCTCACAGATTTCTGACTGCTGCTGCAGTTATTGTTAGTTATCAAACATCTTGATGGTTATAATGGTTAACAATTATAATAATTATGATGTAATGTAATATGTATAATATTGGTTACAGTGATCAGAGTTACAGTGAAAGCCAATCAAAAGCCAATACAACACTTACTGGTTCTTTCTGCACGGACCACATGTTCAGCAACTAGCCAGCCCAGCGCTGTGACGGCAGCCAGAGCTCCTATGTGCAGGAAAGGCCCTGTGGACTGAATTACAACACAGGAAGACAGGAGTTTTATAACCTTGTTTACACACAAACATCAACATCTACCAAAAATACCAATAGAGAAACGCAGACAAATAGAGATGTAGACCTGTAGAGATATGAAGATGATGTCCCATTCATTCCCCCACACGTCATCGATGGAGACCACGCCACTGACAGTGATGATCAAGGCAGCCAACACAGCAACCTGGGGTAAAAAACATATCAACAGTTTGATTTGTTCTACACATTCCTATGCAGGGCTAACAGTAATTTCCGTAGGTCAGAGTTCATTTGGAGGCCTACCTTGTGGATCCAGTAGAGGTTCAGCTGCTGTCCCAGTAAAATATGACAAAGTGCTAAAATCTGGAAACGAACAGAGCCACAATCAAGTTAGATCTTACTGAAGCTGCTGCAGCAACATGTGCTTTACTGTGTGTATAGGCATACAACCAAAGATGGGTAACTCACTCACCATTAAAAATGTAATGTAACTAAAGCCAACTGCGGTGGTTGCTAGAATGGGGACAGTCCCGTCCTTCCATTCCCCAGAACGGTTGTATAGTAACCTGAGGATGAGCGACAGAGGGTGGGGAAGGTGAACCAATGCCTTGATAAGAAGAGGATGAAACAGACCAGCCCTTCTAGGAGATATTGAAATATGCACACATTCAATTACTCATTGATAGCTGCTCAAAAGAGAGAGTGCTTATGAGGGACAGAAACAATGTTGCAAACTCAGCTCACAGTCTCTCTGGTAAGGACTAACTGTCCCACTCACCAGTTGAATTGGTTGTAGTCATTGTGGGCCTCCAACCAGAAGTAAGCCCAGAAGAGGAGCAGGGAGAAGGTGCTGCACAAGATGATGAACCATGCACACTCCCACTGGTGAACACACAACAGACAAGAAGAAGACATTTGTGACTCGTTTCAGGAAACTAGGCATATGTCACACGTCACTACTTCACAGGAGAGGCATTTGAACGTAAACATAAATGTTTTATCAAAATGCATTTTTAGGCAGAAATGCCTTCTGGAACAGGTGAACTTTCATGTGCCTTAATAACAAACTTGTATTCCATCCGTAAATACTAATACAATTGTTAAATTACGAGCCTAGTTGGTTTAGCCATGGAAAAAGACAGGAACCTTCCCACTAGCCATGATTGGTTGAGATAATGGGATGGGCTAGACATGCCGGGAGATGAGTTTGGATTGGTCTGCCATGTAGCATGCTTCTGTTTATAAAGTGAGCCGCTCAGTATGTGTTGATAATCCTTTCTACTGCGCCGTTTATTGAAATATATAACGTTAGCCATCGAGAACTAGAAAAGTTTAGCTACTTTTCTCAACAACATTGATGCCCTGAATTTCAGCGCTATTCATGACATCTCTTTCTGCAAAGTTCTACAACGTTTGCCTACTGAACGTGGCCCAGGTCAGACCACAGCCAGGTGGAGTTGACCAGTGATCGTTTTTACACCTCATGCTGGCCAAACTAGTGTTGCATCTCCTCCACATCTCCTACATTCTGTTATCAGAGACATGTAGACGTGTGGTTAGAGTGGAATACCAAATTAACACTTCACTCAGAGGAAAGATGAGCAACCTCATCAGAGAGGTCTCACCTCCTGCTGGTTAGAGTTAATCCACAGGGGAGAATGGGAGAGTAGAGGACTGATGTTTTAATGTAGTCTGGTTTCTGAGGTAACCACCACACGACTTCTGTTGAGACATTCAATTACCATGTCCTGCAAAATCTTTCACAGCCTTGACTTGACTGTGTGTGTGTGTATATATATATATATATATATATATATATATATATATACACACACACACAGTGAGGGAAAAAAGTATTTGATCCCCTGCTGATTTTGTACGTTTTCCCACTGACAAAGAAACGATCCGTCTATAATTTTAATGGTAGGTTTATTTGAACAGTGAGAGACAGAATAACAACAACAAAAATCCAGAAAAACGCATGTCAAAAATGTTATAAATTGATTTGCATTTTAAATGAGGGAAATAAGTATTTGACCCCCTCTCAATCAGAAAGATTTCTGGCTCCCAGGTGTCTTTTATACAGGTAACGAGCTGAGATTAGGAGCACACTCTTAAAGAGAGTGCTCCTAATCTAAGTTTGTTACCTGTATAAAAGACACCTGTCCACAGAAGCAATCAATCAATCAGATTCCAAACTCTCCACCATGGCCAAGACCAAAGAGCTCTCCAAGGATGTCAGGGACAAGATTGTAGACCTACACAAGGCTGGAATGGGCTACAAGACCATCGCCAAGCAGCTTGGTGAGAAGGTGACAACAGTTGCTGCGATTATTCGCAAATGGAAGAAACACTAAAGAACTGTCAATCTCCCTCGGCCTGGGGCTCCATGCAAGATCTCACCTCGTGGAGTTGCAATGATCATGAGAACGGTGAGGAATCATCCCAGAACTACACGGGAGGATCTTGTCAATGATCTCAAGGCAGCTGTGACCATAGTCACCAAGAAAACAATTGGTAACACACTACGCCGTGAAGGACTGAAATCCTGCAGCGCCCGCAAGGTCCCCCTGCTCTAGAAAGCACATATACAGGCCTGTCTGAAGTTTGCCAATGAACATCTGAATGATTCAGAGGAGAACTGGGTGAAAGTGTTGTGGTCAGATGAGACCAAAATCGAGCTCTTTGGCATCAACTCAACTCGCCGTGTTTGGAGGAGGAGGAATGCTGCCTATGACCCCAAGAACACCATCCCCACCGTCAAACATGGAGGTGGAAACATTATGCTTTGGGGGTGTTTTTCTGCTAAGGGGACAGGACAACTTCACTGCATCAAAGGGACGATGGACGGGGCCATGTACCGTCAAATCTTGGGTGAGAACCTCCTTCCCTCAGCCAGGGCATTGAAAATGGGTCGTGGATGGGTATTCCAGCATGACAATGACCCAAAACACACGGCCAAGGCAATAAAGGAGTGGCTCAAGAAGAAGCACATTAAGGTCCTGGAGTGGCCTAGCCAGTCTCTAGACCTTCATCCCATAGAAAATCTGTGGAGGGAGCTGAAGGTTCGAGTTGCCAAACGTCAGCCTCAAAACCTTAATGACTTGGAGAAGATCTACAAAGAGGAGTGGGACAAAATCCCTCGTGAGATGTGTGCAAACCTGGTGGCCAACTACAAGAAACATCTGACCTCTGTGATTGCCAACAAGGGTTTTGCCACCAAGTCCTAAGTCATATTTTGCAGAGGGGTCAAATACTTATTTCCCTCATTAAAATGCAAATCAATTTATAACATTTTTGACATGCATTTTTCTGGATTTTGTTGTTGTTATTCTGTCTCTCACTGTTCAAATAAACCTACCATTAAAATTATAGACTGATCATGTCTTTGTCAGTGGGCAAACGTACAAAATCAGCATATATATATATATATATATATATATATGTGTGTGTGTGTGTGTGTCTGATAATGTCAGGTTGTATTTAGTTTGTTTAAGGTTGATTTACGGTGAGGTGAAAGTGCATAGGTGTAGGACTACAGCCACAGTCACATGGTGAATCTGAAATTCACTCAAGAACAGTCGGAGGAATCTCTTTAAAGCAGGGTTGGAGTAAATTTAATTTCCGATTCCGTTAATTCAGGAAGTTAGCTAGTGTTAGGAGAGAACCAAGGAGAAGGATATTTTGTACACATTTTGCAGACAACAAATTACAGTGGGTGATCATACCTGTCCCACACCCTTAAAACCCAAGGGGGTAGAAATATTCACACAGTAGTTTATGAAGAACAAGCCTGGTTCTTCTCCCCTATAACCATAGATCATCTGTGGTTACTGGTTTATAAAAAGAGGGATGATGGGGCTCAGAGTTCTGCAAACACTCTCCGGCTGGGCAAACAACACTAAACGCACATTAGCACACTTCACTGTTTCTCAGCTCTGGTCCTTAGGTACACCCGGCCATACTGGGCAAAGAGGAAGCATCTCTATATAGACCTTGGAATGTATCATTCCTCTGGTCCTCTGTAGCTCAATTGGTAGAGCATGGCGCTTGTAACGCCAGGGTAGTGAGTTTGATCCCTGGGACCACCCATACGTAAAAATGTATGCACACATGACTGTAAGTTGCTTTGGATAAAAGCGTCTGCTAAATGGCATATATATTATTTCGCAGGCATTTTCGGCTCCAGGTGTAGTCTTTTTTTGCCTATACAAATAGGTCAGATACATCACCCAGCCCAGCACACACAGCAAGAGAACAGTCACAGAGGAAGTCACTCTATAATGGGGCCATTTCAGACACAACCATAACCAACCACACTACAGGACTGTCATCGAGGATACAGGAAGTCAGTCTTTAGCACAGTGCAGACCCGGTGGAGTCAGACTGTCAGTGGATGACTCATTCATTGTCACCAAGCTGATGATGTCTAATCCTGACGTCCTTCCAATCCCATTACTTCCTCCTCCAGAGCACAGTAGCATTTGGACACCCAGACTGTGCCTGGCCTTCCTTCTCCTTCCCTTTCTAACGTCTTCACAGTCTGCTAATTATAACCCTGATAGACAGTGCTGCTCTACCACACTGTTACATCTACTGGGAAGAACACTGATTAATCACAATGAATGCGCTTAATCAGACAACCAGTATGACTGGCTGCCATTACCGGCAAACCTTCTCAGACAGACAGTTCACATCTCACTTCTGTATTATAAAAAATTCTACAGCTGCACCATCGAGAGCATCCTGACTGGTTGCATCACCGCCTGGTATGGCAACTGCTTGGCCTCTGACCGCAAGGCACTACAGAGGGTAGTGCGTACGGCCCAGTACATCACTGGGGCAAAGCTTCCTGCCATCCAGGACCTCTATACCAGGCGGTGTCAGAGGAAGGCCCTCAAAATTGTCAAAGACTCCAGCCACCCTAGTCATAGACTGTTCTCTCTGCTACCGCACGGCAAGCGGTACCGGAGTGCCAAGTCTAGGTCCAAAAGACTTCTCAACAGCTTCTACCCCCAAGCCATAAGACTCCTGAACAGCTAATCATGGCTACCCGGACTATTTGTACTGCCCCCCCACCCCATCCTTTTTACGCTGCTGCTACTCTGTTAAGTATTTATGCATAGTCACTTTAACTCTACCCACATGTACATATTACCTCAACTATCTCAACTAGCCGGTGCCCCCGCACATTGACTCTGCAACGGTACCCCCCTGTATATATAGCCTCCCTACTGTCACTTTATTTTACTTCTGCTCTTTTTTTCTCAACACTTTTTGTTGTTGTTGTTTTATTCTTACTTTTTTGTTTAAAATAAATGCACTGTTGGTTAAGGGCTGTAAGTAAGCATTTCACTGCAATGTCTGCACCTGTTGTATTCGGCGCATGTGACCAATAAAATTTGATTTGATTTGATTTGAAGTACACACACAAGTTATCCTATGGATTTTGCCATATCATAAAAAATACATAAAAATAAGGTGCAATATTACAATGTGAATATTGATGCTTTATGCCTCAATGATAACTTACAACGTATGATTGAGCTATGGATCATAAGTTGACCTCCAGCTGGAATTCCATCCTCACCCCTGTTCAGCATGTGCTGCTTTATGGTGTGCTAGTGTTGAGCGAAAATATTTCTATTTAATTCACTAAAAAGTTCTCTATTGGCTGGAAGAGCAGGACAGAGGTAATCTGTTTCTGAGAAATACTAGCCTACCACTAACTACCAGCAAGCAATGATATACAAACACAGGACGGTGAACTCAGGACTGGGAATCACAGCAGTACTATCTCAATGGCCAAGTCAATATCAGAATGAACTCTATTAATAAGAGTGAAAGAA